CAAGTTCAGGGAGAGAATAGTTTAAAAGTAATATATTTTAGGGCATTATGATTATCTTAAGAGTCTGGAATGAGGGTTGCAGAGTGGAGTATACTTGGGGTGGGGGTGGGGGTGAGGGGGATTGTGTACCAATGAAGTAGTTTTTGTTTTGCTTTTCAAGGAGAGGAGTAAAGTGGGGGTGGGGTGGGGTGGGTGGGAAGAAAAGTGCAACAATGAATGAATGGAAGTCCAAAATCTCTGTAGATGTTCATTGAAACAAAACAAAAAAAACCCACAAAACCAGCCCAAGTTCTAATCAGATTCATTTCAACTCCTACATGAAAGGCCGTTTAAAAAAATTAAGTAAACCAAAAACTATCTCCCTCAATATGTACTGTTCTTTACAAGATGCCCACTTTGAACAAAAAAAAATAAAGAAGCATACAAAAAAAGAAAGCAGCGGGCATAAACCCAAGGGACATGGCAATCAATGGAACTGGACACTGCTCTGGGACAGATGTCAGAAAGTTTGACAGGGAATTTTTAAAACTTGCAATCAGTGTGTTAAAATCTCTAATGAGAAATGCCAACAATATAGAGTCAGGTAATTTCAGCAAACATCAAGAAGGAGGGTCATAGAGAAGGACAGAAATATTGGGGGCCCAACTTCTGAATTCCGGAAATAAAATGGTCCACGTTGCATTTACAGGGAGCTCTGGTGAATTAGTGGTAAGAAGCTGTACTGCAATCCCAAAGGCACACTGTTCAAACCCAGCAGCTGCTCTGCAAGAGAGGGATGGCCAATCTCCACCCATGAGATTTTCTGTCTCAGAAAACCAGCTGGAGGGTCAGCTATAGGTTGGTGCCACCTCCACAGCACACTGTAACAAGAACATATTCCACTACGTGGAACATATCACTGGTGGAGTCATCTGGAGGTAGGTATACACTGCTAACTCAAAAGGGGTGTCTCTCCAGTGGTTGGTGCAAATCCACCAGTGGCTCCATGAAAGTTGGATCATTTCCTCTCATGTAATTTACAGTGTCCAAAAGCCCACTGGAGGGTCAACTCTGAGTCAGTCCTGACTCCACGGCAGTGAGTATATATTGTTATATTAAGAGCCCTTAAGTTAGGTATTTGAGTGCTACCATAGGACCCCACCAACCGCTCCAGAGGTCAAAGATAGAGCAATCCCGTCCATAACAGATTACAGGCCTGGAAGCTCTAGGAGACATTTCTACTTTGTACTGCAGGTTTGCAGAAGCTCTAGTTGACTGGCTGGTCCAGTGGCCTAGTGGATAAGGAGTTGCACTACCAAACCAAAGATAGATTGTTCAAATCCATGAGCTGCTCCTGGGAGAAAGATGGGCCATCGCTTCTTGTGCCATTTACAGAAGCCTCTGACAACCTGCTGGAGTCTATTCTCAGTTGGTTCTGACTTGATGGAAATGAGTGAGCAAATGAATTACTATTCTGTCCCATATTACAGCTACTTACTACTTACTGGCCATCTAATTTTCTAGCATTTCACATTTATGACAAATGGAATTTCACAGAGAGAGTAAAAAATCTATCTAACTTGTATACTGACATACATCTGGCAGTAATGAACACTGAGGTCCAAAGGAACAGTGACACTAATTGTGATGATTAAGTGTAAACTTGGCAAACCATGTCTCAGTGATTTGGCAACGACATACTGTGTCACTTGACAGTTTTTAATGATATGATTTGCTACTTATGTAACAAGACAACTACCTCTATTTCATAATCTGGGGCCGTCCTCTATTTTTTCATAATGCCAATTTTTGCATATAGACCCAGTCTTTGTAATCTAATCAAATAATGATGACTGGGTATGTCAATAAGTAAGTACTTTCTTTTAGAACCAATTATTAAGCAGACTGCAAATAAGCAAAACATTATGAAGACTATGGCCCAGCACAGATTAATTAAGAACAAACAACTTCACCTCATTTCCTTTATTAATGTGATTACAGGTGATGAGTTTAATGAAGACACAGAACAAATATGAATCAAATTTCAACCATTTGTTTAACAAACATTTGCTAAGTACCTACGGTGTGTCAGGGATTATAGTAGATGCTTGAGATTCAGTAATGAATGAGAGAGAGAGAGATTTTGTTCTAAAAAAATAATTTCCCTCATGGAATGTAAAGAAGATATGACGACCTATAAGATAGGACTAAGATTCAGAAATTATCTAAATGTTAGAAGAAAACCAACCCCCTGAAATATTTTAATATTTCAATGGGGATACTGATGTGTGTGTGTGTGCGTGCATACTGAAAGAATTCTACACATGTGATGCCACATCTTAAAAAGGTGGGAGGAAGTCAGGGAAAAGGAGTGTTACTTTTATTTTGTTAGTTATTCTGTTTACGGTTTTGTTTTGTATTTTGTTTTGGTGGCAAACATAAAGGGAGATTTTCAATAATTCAATAATCACAATAGTGAAAAATAAGAGGAAAAAAGTTGAGTAGATGCTATGGGCAATGTACTGAATGACACTGAGAGCAACAAAAGAAGATGGAGGAAATACACAGACTCACTGTACCAGAAAGAATTGATTGACACTGAAAAATTTCAGGAAGTACTATATGAGAAGGACCCAATGGCAATGAGAGAGGAATTGGAAGTTGTATTGAATGCATTTGCAAAAAATTAAGGCCCCAGGAATCAATGTGATACCAATTTACTTGTTTCAATTCACAGATGCAGCCTTGGATGCACTCACTGGTCTATGCCAGGAAATTTGGAGGACAGTTGTCCGGCCAATGTATCAAAAGCAATCTATATTTGTTCCTATTCCCAAGAAGGGTGATCCAATTGAATGTGGAAATTATTAAACAATATAATTGATATCACATGCTAGCAAAAAAGATCATTCAAAAATGGCTGGAAACAGTATACTGACAGAAAATTGCCAGAAGTTCAATTGGGGTTTAGAAGAGGCCATGGCACCAGGCATATCATTACTGATGACAAATGGATCCTGGTTGAAAGTAAGGAATACCAGAAGAATGCTATTTGTGCTTTACTGACTATGCAAAGGTGTTTGACTGTGTGGATCATGCCAAGTTGTGGCTGACATTGAAAAGAATGGGAATCCCAGAGCACTTGATTGTGCTCATGAGGAACCTATATGTGGAGCAGGATGCTCTTATGTAAACAGAGCAGGGAGCACTGCATGGTTTGGAATTGGGCAGGGAGTGTGTCAGGGACGTACTCTGTCTCCATACCTGTTCAATCTATATGTTGCACAAATTATCCGAGGAGCTTGACTCTATGAAGAGGAGTGTGGCATCAGGATTGGAGGGAGACTCATCAATAACCTGTCTTATGCAGATGACACAATCTTGCTTGCTGAAAGTGAGGAGGATTTGAAGCACTTATTGCAGAAGATCAAGGAATGCAGCCTTCAGTATGGAATGTGTCTCAATATCAAGAAAACAAAGATTCTTACCACTGGACTAACAGGCAGTGTCATGATAAAACTGTCAACAGCTTCATTTTGCTTGGATCCACAATTAACACCCTTGGTAAGAGGAGCCAGGAAATAAAGAGATGCACTGCAATGGGAAAATCTGCAGTTAGGGACCTTTCCAAATGGTTCAGTAGTGATGTCAGTTTGAGGACTAAGGTGCGTTGGTTCAGGCCATGGTCTTTCTGATTACTAACTATGCATCTGAGACCTGGACAATGAATAAGGATGACAGAAAAAGAATTTATGCCTTTGAGCTGCGGTGTTGGAGAAGAACATTCAGGAACGGCCAAGAAAATGAACAGATATGTCTTAGAGAGGGTGCAGCCAGAATGCTCTTTGGAGGCAAGACTGATGAGTCTTCGCCCCACATACTTTGGATATGTTGTGAAGAGGTGCTATTTCTTAGAGAAGGACAAGATGCTGCGAAGAGTGGAAGGTTGGTGAAGGAGAGGAAAATCTTCAACCAGGTGGATTGACAAGGTGACTGGTGCAATGGGCTCTTGTGCATCAGGAAGTATTATGATGGTGCAGGACAGGACTGGTATTAGATCTTTTGTTCACAGGGTTGCTATGAGTAGTACTAGACTTGATGACACCTAACAACAACTGCCACTACTTAAGTACCTGGAAAGACAATGATATAAATTAGAATATTCAATCTGAATATAATCTGGGGGAAGAGGACACAGTATACAAGATCTTTCTTTATACACATGTGGTTAGACCTTACGTGAGGTCTAAAAATGAATTTACTTTGTATTGTGCTGTTTCTCTGGTGGAACATTTCTGGGGAAAAACAATTAAATCTAAGAAAAGACAAACATCTCTGCCATGCAGAGCATAACATACCTCCCAGGCCATCAGTTCCTCATTACTGAGAATGTCCAACTTCAGGCTGAGTGAATAATGTCACTGCAGAGTGGCAGGAGTATTTGACAAACAAGAGATATGAATATATGGATGACGCTCAAATAAATCCAAAGGAAGATGCCAAAGTAAAGTTTCATGGAAATCTATTCAGCAGAGGCCAATTCAATGAAATAATTCCTTTTCATTTAGATTTATGTTTACATATCATTTTATGTATGGCAAAGAAAAGTTTATTAGAATATTCTAATATTCATGGTGGACTGTTTAAAATCTAGTAATAAATATGACAAAAATATTTTAAGTATTTAAATATAAAAACATTCCATAAAACCATAAATTGCCTCAGAGATCAGAATATTGGACATGACTAATGTCTATTTCCTATGAAACTTAGCATATATCAAAATGTTAATTTCTTTTTATGTAAAAATATTTATATATTTAATGAGAACACTGAAATAAACATTATTATAAAGTAAATTATATACAGACCATATATATTCTATATACATATATGCATACGCACACCAGTATAAAATTATCCACTTTGAAATGAAATCTTTTAAATTTGGACCATGGCATAAAAGCTCGCTCTAGAAGCCCAGGTTTTATTCATGATAAAGATGATTTTTTTTTCTCTCTCTACAAGGCTTCTTGCAAAAGTGAACACAGCTGCTTCTGCTCGTCCTTCACTGGTGATGCCCATTGCTTCTTCAAGTACTGAATGTCAACGTCCCCAGACGCTCTGGCCAGCAGGAGGGCGAGGAAGCTGCTGCTGGTCTTTTCCGGGTTGCCCATCACAGTCATCATTACTAGCCTGGAAGCAAGAGGACTCATGTAAGTGGGTGCGCATGGGCATTCACGTTATTGTTCGGTCGTCCAAACTGTCTATCCTCTAAGTGAGGGTCAAACAGAAGAGAACTCCTACAATATCTCTAAATTCATAATAGTCAGTGCTGGACCAGAAATAAGTTTATCAAACACTACAGAAAGTGCTTTGAAAGCCTATGTGTGCTCTCTGGAGGATTATTAATGGATTTCTTTGCTACAGTTATTGTATGGATGAGCTGTTTTAAGATGGCTAAGATGGAATCCAATGTCATTATTCTGAAGACAATAGAGTAATAACTATGTCTTCTTTCTCTCACCCACCTAAGAGTAAATAACTTTTCAAGTATGACTTTTCAAGCTGGTACCTTCCTTTCAGACTCTCAGGAGAGCTGAACCATTCAGACAAGCCCCTCCCCAACGGCACATCCTGTCCTGCAACAGTTCTCCTTCCTGCCCAATTCTCCCTATGTGATAGCATCATCACCCATCTCTTCAGTTAAATGCCAAACACTAAAGGCTGCACCTATCAAGGTTTACTTGCAGACCCATATATTCAACTTCTCGTACCTTTCTACTGCCCTACAGGCACAGTGGTGAACAGCACTCTTATCATATGCAGAAGAGCCCACTGCAGAAGCCTGGGGGCTATCCTGGGAACCTTCTATTATCTTCCTCCCACACCTCACCAGTTCCTGGCCAGTCACTTCTATTTCCTGGTATCCCCTTCCACATTACTCCTACCACAGCTGAAGTCCTTATCATTTCTCTCTGACCACTACACCAGTTTTAAGACCAGACTCTTGTCGCTTTCCTCCCTCATACTGTTGACACTGAGACTTTCAAAATCACACAATTGTTTCCTCACTCTATCACCAACAGGAAGTATCTTTTTCATAAGGCACACGAAGCTCTCCTGCACCTTTATTCAGTGCTATAACTCCCAGAGTGGCTAGGCTTCCTCGGGCCTTTAGTATATTGTTGCCTCTTCTCAGAACATCCTGCTGTCCTTTTCATCTGATTAATTTCTATTTATTCTACAAGCTGTAACTCAGTGTCATCACCCTCAGAAGCTTTCCATGATCCCTTGCCTAGTCTTAATTTGGCTCAGAATTTTCTCTTGAGTATTCCTACAGCATCCTATGAATGTCTCCATCAAAGCACATATCACATTATTTTAAAGAATTATTACTAATATTAATTAGAGACCTCTAGTGTACTACAGTGTAGGAAGTTGTCTTGCCAACCTAAAGGCACGTGGTTCAAATCCACCAGCTTGTGTTCAGAAAGAGAGGCAATCTCATCCTGTGTGATTTACAGTCTCTGAAAACCTGCAGGAGCCAGTTATGAGTAAATTCCAACTCAATGACAACGCATTATATTGATTTGAGTTTCAAATTATAATTAAGAGCCATCACTATCGAACAGAAATGACATTTAACCCCAATGCACACCACTTCCTCTTCTTAGTCTCATTCTGAAAATGATTCAAGAAAGCTGGTGTCAGACACTGAGCAGGCAGATACTGAGGGGAGCGCAAGAGCAGCGAGCACCCTCAAAAACGATGGGAAGAGAGCCAGGCATTACAAGGGCCAGGGTCACTGGTGCCCCCAAGAACCTGGCTGCTTCTTAACTTGAAGCGTTTCTAAGAGTAAACTCCTAGACAAATTGGGAGGGATGAAGAAAATATTAAAATATATTCTCCTAAAACAAATAATGAAATTTCTTTTCAAAGTTAATAAAATTCAGCACTTTATATTCTATGTATCAAAGGGCTTCTTTTATGTTCTGAAGGAGTACCTTGAGAAGAACTTGGGAGAGCGTGGACCTGGCAGGAGGGAGAGGATGCCTCAATGACCACCAGGAAATAAAATCAAAGAAACTACAAAACTGTCTGGGACACGCACATCAGCCAGGCGTGGGCTGGACAAAAGCTGCACCTGGGAAATCAAGCTATTCCAAGAAACTAGAGCAACTTAGCCAGACAAGCTCCTACTGTAGACGTTCCATTTAGCTAATATTCAGCTACTGGGTCACTTGCTATGGAGAAGTTACAGCATTACTGAGGCAGGAGAAGTATGAGGATTAAGCCCCCAGGAGACAACTAAGGGAGCAAACCAGGAAAAATTAAAAGCAGTCAGAATTTCCATTAAGTACTTAATATTTTAATAATGCTGCTCAATTACTGGTGTAAAAATATGGGCAAACTATAACTGTCCCAAGTGTGGAAACATCAGTAATTGGTGGGAAACATAATGGTGCTCCTGGCATCAGGCCTGCAAAGCTGAGCTTGGCGAGCAAGAGGATGTCTACAGTTCAGGATAAAACATGCCTAGAATCCAAATAACATTTTAAATAGATGCATGGGTTACTCCAATGTCACTGGTAAATTTTTAAACACAGTCTTCAAATTTGTAAGTTGGAATCCAAAAGGAGGCAGAAATGCAGGCACTAAAGTTTGAGTTCAATATTCTACTCATAATCACATATACATTTTCAAATTACTACTACTTCGTCCATAAAGGAATTCAAGAGATATGGATGCTCATGTGATTATCTCACTGGCTTCAAGACCACATAACCACAGGTCCTCGGCTGTCATCATGAACATTACTAGGATTCTGGAAACAGGAAACTTCTTTTCCTTGCATCTAACCTCAACTCTTTCTTTTAAATATTATTATATATTTCATGTTATGTTTTTCTTTACACTTAAAGAAAAATAATGATTCAGCACTTTCTTACCTAACATCACTTGCTTTAAGCTATCCACTGGTGGTAAAGACTGAAACAGAAGATGCTGAAGGAAAAATCTATATTGTTCACTTCTGAATGCTTGTCCTTATCCCCGATGTGGAAACAGGATATGCTCTTTCCTCTCTTTGGAGGACCTCAGCACAGATGCTCCCTCCGTCCCAAGAGGTCTGAGATGAACACACCCTGAAGGAACATGGCCCCACAGACTGAGCTGTAGCACTCCATTTCTTAAGAGTGATCTGGTACTCACTACTCGCCACTGCTGAGGGAGTGCAGAGGTGGGGAGCATGGGAGAATCCATTCCTCTCCTCTCTAGCAGGAAAATGAGGTCAAAGACTGGGGCTGTGGTCTCCAAAACACAGTTTGTTTTGTGGAAAAGACTGAAGTTAAACTATTTAAGGGTCTTGTTGAAGAATACTAAACTAACCATGACTGCCATATGCACACTCATATTTTCAAATGACTTGTACTTTACAGTTCACCATGAGTGCAGGAAAATTAGACACTGTTAAAGAAGGAATGGAACACATAAATATTAACATACTAGGTATTGTGGAGATGAGATGGACTGGCATGGGGCATTCTGAGTCAGATGATGACCTAATCAATTACTCGGGAGATGAAAAGGTGAGGAAAAATGGGGTTGCTTTCATAGTTAAAAAAGTCATTTCTAGATTCGTCTTGAAGTACAATATTGTGAGTGACAGGATAATATCCATACGCATACAAGGAAGTCCAATGAATACCACTATCATTCAGATATATACACAAAAAACCAGAGCCAAGGAAGAGGAAATAGAAGATTTCTACCAACTTTTACAGTCAGAGATTGATTGAACATGCAGTCAAGATGCATTAATGATAATGGGTGACTGGAATGTAAAAGTTGGGAATGGAGAAGAAGGATTAGTAGCTGGAAAACAAGGACTCGGTGACAGAAATGAAGCTGGAGATAGAATGATTGAATTTTGCACAATCAATGACTTAGTCACTGTAAATACATTTTAAAAGAAACATAAAAGCAGCTTACACACATGGATTTCACCTGATGATATGCACAGGAATCAGATTGATTACATCGGTGGAGCAAACCACTGGAGAAGCTCAATATAAGCTGTGAAAACTAGGCCAGTAGCTGATTGTGGAACAGACCACCAACTACTCATATGCACATTCAAGCTGAAGCTAAAGAAAATTAAATCAAATTCACAGGAACCAAAATATGACCTGGAGTCTATTCCACCTGGATTTCAGAACTATCTCAGGAACAGGTTTAAGGCCTTGAACACCAATAAGAAAAGACCAGATGAGTTGTGGGAGGGTATCAAGAGTATCATCCAGGAAGAGTGCAAAAGGTCATTATGAAGACAGAGGAGGAAGAAAATACCAAAATGGATGCCAAAAGAGACCTTGAATATTGCACTAAAGTGCCAAGAAGCCAAAGCAGAGGGGCAACTTCAAGATATTACAGAGCTGAATAGAAGATTTCAAAAGGCAGCGCAGGAAGACAAAGTAAACTATTACAATAAAATGTGCAAGGAGCTGGAGTCAGAAAATCAAAAGGCCCAAACTTGCTCAGCATTTCTTAAGCTCAAGGAACTGAAGAACGAATTCAAACCTCGAGTTGCTATACTTAAGGATGCTTTAGGCAGAATATTAAACGATCCAGGAAATATTAAAAGAAAATGGAAAGAATATACTGAGTCACTGTAACCAAAGGAATTGGATGACACTGAAGAATTTCATGGAACAACATATGAACAAGAGCCTATGGTGATGAAGGAAGAAGTTCAGGCTGCTTTGAAGGAATTGGCAAAAAATAAGGCCCCAGGAATTGATAGTACACCAATTGACATCTTTCAACTAACAGATGCTGCCCTAGATGTGCTCACCAAGTTGTGCCAAGAAATCTGGAGAACAACCACTTGGCCAACTGACTGGAAGGGATCTATATTTGTTCCCATTCCAATAAAAGGTTATCCGACAAGAATGTGGAAATTATCAAACAATATCATTGATATCATATGCAAGCAAGATTCAGCTGAAGATTATCCAAAAATGACTGGAACAGCACATCAACAGAAAACTGCCAGAAGTGCAGGCTGGATTTAGAAGAGGTCGTGGTACTAGGGATATTTTTATCTAATGTTAGATGGATCTTAGCTGAAAGCAGGGAGTACCAGAGAAATGTCTCTCTGTGTTTCATTGATTATGCAAAGGTGTTTGTGTGGATCACAACAAAGTGAGGCTAACTCTAAGAAGAGTGGGAATCCCAAAACACTTGATTGATACAAAACCTATACTTGGACCAGGAGGCAGTTGTCAGAACAGAGCCAAATAAACACTGCATGGTTCAAAACTGGGAAGGGTGTATGCCAGGGATGTGTCCTATCTCCATACCTTTTCAACCTATATGCAGGCATCAGGATTGGTGGAAGACTCATCAACAATCTGTGTTAGGCAGATGACACCACCTTGCTTGCTCAAACTGAGGAGGACCTGAAGCACTTGCTATAGAAGGTTGAGGACTGCAGCCTTCAATATGGATTGAGGCTCAATGTCAAGAAGACAAAGATTCTCACCACTGGTCCAACTGGCAGCATCAGGACAGATGGCGAAGAGATTGAGATTGTTCACAGCTTCAGTTTGCTTGGCTCCACGGTCAACATTCTTGGCACCAGCAGCCAGGAAATTAAAAGACATATTTTGATGGGAATGTCTGCTGTTAGGGACCTCTCTAAAGTATTTAAGAGCAATGGTGTCATTCTAGGGACTAAGGTGCACTTGATACAGCTATGCATCAAGGAGTTGGACAATGACTAGGGAGGATAGAGGAGAATTGATGCCTTTGAGCTGTGGTGCTGGAGAAGATTATTGAATATACCATAGATTATTAAGAAAACAAATAGGTACATCTTGGAGAGGGTTAAATCAGGCTGCTCCTTGGAGGCAAGGATTCTGAGGCTTCGTTTGACATACTTTGAACATGTTGCAAGGAGGGACCAGTCCTTGGAGAAGGACGTCATGCTTGGGAGGGTGGAGGGACAGTGAGGAAAGAAAGATCCTCTATGAGGTGGATTGACTCAGTGACTGGGGTAATGAGTGTAGGTGTGTCAGAGACAATGAAATTGGCACAGGTCAGAGCAGGGTTTAGGGCTGTTTACAAAAGGTCGCTATGAGTCACAGGCGACTCAACAGCACATAACAACAACAACAACAACTATACAGCAATTCTAGGAATACTGCAGCTCATTCATTCTCCAAGCCCAACACTATCCCATCTGCTTCAAGACCACACAGCAAAGAGCAGACAAATGTTTCTTGGCTCATACAGAGAGCTCCTTGGAAGCAAGAGTGTGAGGATTCATCTCACCAAATTTGGACATGCTATCAGGAGGGGCCATTTCCTAGAGAAGGACATTATGCTTGGAAAAGTGGGTCAGCAAATGAGGGGAGGACACTCAAGGACAGGAACCAGCACAGTGACTGCCCCAGTGTGCTGAAGCACAGCTTGTGAGGAGGGCTCAGGATCGGCAGGGTCTCAGCCCCTATGAGTCGGTGTAGACTCAAAGGCATCTTAATCTTAACTCTAAAATTGTAAGACTGTTTAAAAATATAAGACTGGGCATGTCATTCCTATGTTTAAAACTCTCCAATGAAAAGTTACCCATCTGACTTAGAGTAAAATCCAGTCTCCAGCTGGCCTGGTAGATCCTGTACCTGGCCTCACCTTAGCCCTTCCCTTCCTCACTCTGTTCCAACACACTGGCTCCCCTCCCTGCTGTCCTCTGTACATACACACAGCAGGCACACTTCCTCTTCTTTGCCTAGAATGCAGATTTCTGTATTCCTCAGCTGCCCACACCAGCTTCACATCAAGACCCTCCTTGGATGTCCTCTTTAAAATCTTAATACTGTACTTCTCACACTCCTTATCTACCACACCACTTTATTTCATTTTTCTCCATTACACATATTCTAACCTATTTAATGGCTTCTTTATTTGTTTCTCATCTTACCTCACTAGAAAATGAGTGTGCTTCAGATGGATGTTTTTCTCTGATGGGCTCAATACTGTGTCTCTAGCACCGAGAGCAGTGCCAGGCTCCCAGTAAGTGCTCAGTAACATTTTTATTAAGTAATTAATTGGTCTAGAAATAAAATTTTTAGAATCATAAACTCTGTGAAGTATGTTTCTAAATAAAGATCTCAGTCTGGGCTTTTATTATTTAATAATTAGAAGAACATAAATACTTAAACTAAATAACTGCAATTCTCTTTTTCAGACTTCCTTTATTCCTAAAATTCTATCAAATATCTGTTTTTAACATTTTCAACTTTGTTGTTGTTATATATGTTGCCTGAATCACAGTGACCCTATGTAGGCTATGAGCATATTCCTATGAGACTCTTTACAAACAGTTTCATTTTCAAGAAAACAACAAAGACAACAAATTATTTTAAAGTAATATGAGAGATATGACACAATGTTTAAATTCACATTAGTGACTTTTTCATTAATTAATATAAACACCATCAGATACTGGTTTCTATTTTGAGATGTGAGCTATTAAAGAGCTTTGAGAAAAGAAGTGACATTAATGTGAAATTAAATGAATTCTTAATTTCTATATATTATTTGTTTTTAGAAACTCAAAAAAATACTGAATGCTATGTACTTCATTCAGACCTATAATGAACTTATGACTAGAAATTATTATAATTAAGAAGTCCACAAAAAGTTTCTTCTTGCATTTATTGAATACTTAAAAATTTTACAGTATAAATTCTTTAATAGAATATTTTTGCTAAGTGTAAATAATTCTTTTCAAATGTTAATTTTGTTATATGAATATGATTTTATGTTATCTGGATATGATTCAAGAGTCCTCATTTTATGCTTAAAATTAGAAATAAGGCATTACAAGATAATATGAATGCTTATGATTATGTAAAAAGACAAGTCCCCACCCAGCTGACCAAAGAATCTCAACTTCTACTCCTTCTCTGGAACAACTTCCATTACCATCTGATGAGATAGTAGGCATTTGACCCTATTCCTACAAGCAAAGATTTCTCAGTTGCCTTTCAAATTGGTTGAGAACACTGGGCATCTTGCCAAAGAAACAACTCTACTCTCATTTCTCTAACTGACATAGTCCAGAAATTGGCGCAGCTAAAGAAGAATGGCTTCAGGAGAAACTGACTGAAATTAGTTCAGCAGGTAAAACATAACATGACGCTGATGGAAATCTCCTTACAAAGGCTACAAACTCTAAAAAGCCCCAGGGAAAAGAAGGAAAATTATAGCCACTTGCTCAGCTATGCAGTAACTACATCATTTAGGCCCAGGGAGGCTTTCTGCTCTGCCTCTTTCCTGGCACCAGGGCTATTTAAAGCCTACAGTTGCTCTGAGCATCATCAGAGTGCTGAAGCAGCAACCTCAGAGAAACAATCACAGTGTGGCTTCCAGAGCTCTCAGAAAGCACCAAGACCAGCTTCCCTCCCTAAACTAGGTTTCAGAAGGAGAAAACTCAGTTTACCATTCTTGACGCAGCAGGTCACTATGCTGCTATGCTGTATGTATCTTGTTTTCCCCAACACCACTCCCTTTTAACACCAAGGATCTGCCTTCCTAAGTGAATACATTTCTCTCTGGGCTCATTCCCACAAGGTACATACAAAAGCACCAACTCTCCTCGTCCTCCCTTGTAATGTAATTTACTGCTGTTAGTTTTTTCTGCCCAGTCAATCTGGCTCCTGGCTTGACCTTTAGGAGAACTTTGTCTTGGCTACAAAGGCCAATGTAATAGTAAATCTTTTCATAAATTGCCAAATTATAGATGGTCTTATAAATAAATAACTTTAAACTCTGGAGTATGTGCTAGCCTTAGGTAATGAACATTATTCCCAACTATGTCTTTAAGGATTTGTAGGGAAATTGGAGCAGATATATATGCTCCTCACTCTAGTGCTAGAAAAGGCTTTTTTAAGGATTTAAAAGCTGTACTTGCAGCTTTTTTAAAGTGAAGGTGGTTGTGATGAAGAATCTGTTTTCAGCAGGGGTTGGTTCAATCATTTCAAAGTGAGAGCAAATTTACATAACATTAAAGGAGTCCAAAAAGCTTTTAAATTTGCCAACTAGTTGGTGTTCAAGAATGAATAATTTTCTTCCCTGTTGTACAAATTCAGATGAGAGAAAGCAACAGACCTGATTTCTATAATAATTTAAGAAAGGCTAAAAGGATTTTCATTCGATGGCAAAATTCTACTGCCAAGAACTGTACATGGAGGAGGAGGAAAAGGGGTAAGACAGAGCAGTATAAAAGAAAAGGATTCTTAAACAACTTATATAGTATAACAATAATTAACAATGGAAATAAAATTTATTGTATCTGTGCATTCGTTAAAAAGCAAAAATCTACCTGTTAAACTTCTAAAGCTCACATTGTGTTTCATTTTCCATTTTTCTTCTTCCCTGAGAGGTAAAATTAAGGCAAATGCCTTTATCCAATTTAAAATTCTATTATTTTATATATCATTATCTTTATTACCCCAATAAAAATAGTAGCTCTTGGCTGGAAACAAATGCAAGCAGTCAATCAGACTCCATTTAAATACAATCTGACAATTTTATGCCTAAATAAGAGCATCAGTGATGCTTCTGCAAAACATTCTCTATGATGATGGCTTATGAGCTTCATCACTTACTTGTCTGGAGAGATAGGCTGTGTGGCTACAGGGCCCAAATCACTTTCCAGTAGGTCCCAAATATAAATACTGGATGTGTCATCCTGGACCAAAAACACAGCAGGTCTTGTTAATGACCACTGTAAGCCAATAATAGCTTGGCCATTGGTGCTGTTATTCCACTGCAGAAGAGGATATTCAGAAGTCAGCTGATGTAATCTGATGCTGCCATCTGAACAGCCAGCCTGTGCAACAAGAGAGAGAAAGAAGGAGTGAGAAATTGTTGATCATTCTTTTTTGTTTCTATTTTTCACTTTATCAGAAGAGCAATGGAGAAATTTTTTTTGTAACAATTATTTCTTTAGTTTGTATAGTAAAAGTAATTTCTTTTTTATTTTCCAGAGAATCATATCTTTAAATCCATCTTCACAAATTATACATTCCTTGTGCCCCCAATGACCTCACAAATGCTTGACTATAAATAAATTCAGGTAATATATATGTAGAAATTTTTTACCCATTATCCAACGATAGAAAATATTTTATTATAAACAATTAAATCTTTCCATAATGCTCAAACAGTATCAAACACCATTTTATATCTCTAACAGAGAAGAGTAGGTATTCAGTACTACAACTAAGTATAATATTAAATTTCAAGCTTCTGATCACATCACATAGTGTCTAGGCCAAGATTATATGTCATTTTCCCACGTTATCCAATTCTGTCTCTCACATCTCACTCATCTCAATGGAGCCAAAGATTTCTACTACATACTTTAAATGTAAGAAGTTGAGATAGAGAAAATTCAATGGAAACAAATCTATCTTGACTCAACTCTTAGTTTAAAAAACAAATAACAGTTCATTACCATTGATTTTAACCACAAACTACTGAGATTGACTTCACAGAAGTAAATAAACTACCTTGTTTAAAATGTGATATATTTGTATTAATATGCTATGTACTCTGAAATTTCCATAAAATGAAACTTAGTTGACTTATCAAAGACAAAAGTTTAAGCTCATATAGGTGGCAGTGAAGTTATTAACACAGAAGGATCAACTCAGAAAGGAGGGGAAGGGTGGTTATAAAACTCAAAGAATATAATAAATGTCATTGAATTGTACCCATATAAACCATTGGATTTGTATATTTTCTTATGATTAATAATGCTGTTGTTGTGTGCCATCAATTCAGAACTGACCTATAGCTGACTCTCTGGTGGGTTTTCAGATAGTTAATTGCATAGAAGGAAACTGCCCATCCTTCTCCCATGGAGCAGATGGTGGCCTTGAACCAGGTGTCTTCAAGCCTGCAGTGCAGCTGCTTACCACTAGGCCACCAAAGCAAAAAATTCAACTTAGAAAGGACAATTTCATTCCTTTCTATATATTTAATCTTTCACATACTTAAAAAATAATTTAAATAAAATAAACATGGGTTAAATAAAATCCTAAAATTCAGCAGAAACAAATAATTTTGAAATGGCACTGCAAATAATATAACCACACAGATGAGAAGAGTAAGAGAATCAATCCAAGTGACTTTTTAACAATAATATTTTAACTACATGCCTAACACTCTAAATAATGGACTCATTACATCCATTGGTAGTCCAACATCATCACAGAAGATCTTCATCACTGAACCAACGGTCAACATTATGACAAACTGAGAAGGGACTGAAGCTGTAATTGATTGCCTCTCGCTTGGAAGAGCAAGTCCTGGAGAACTCTCCAATAGCACAGTCACTGCCCTCAATGGTCTCTCCACCTCTCTTAACTCACTAGCAAATGTAATTCTTGATAATCACTTAATCTTGAATTTTCTTCTAGCAGAGCAAGGTTGGGTTTGTGCAGTCATAAACACATACATTAATTCAGGCATGGCAGAAACTAATATTAAAAAATATATATGATCAAGCCAAATGGCTACACCAATATAACCAACAGCAACATAGTCAATCCTTTAAGTGGCCTTTTTTAACTACCTACCAGAGATTGTCTGACTACTCGTCCTAGTAAGTCCTGTAATTGCCCTGTTTTTAATTCTCCTGTTTGGCAACAGCTTCTTAAAATATGTTCTCAAATTCTTACACAAAAGGACTCAGACTCTCACCAACTGAACTATGGGCCAGTTTCCCTGCCTAGAGAACAGAAAATGGGACATAAGGGCACAGGCCCCTGAGCGTCTTGCAAAAAGAGCCAAAGGGAGTAAGAGTAGCACAACCCCTCAGTGCCTCAGCACAGAAAGCAGATAAAGAGCCTGTAGCCCAGTGCCAAGGTGCGTCTAAAGCCACAACAACAGTAAAAGGTTTGTTTATTCATTATGGACTCACAGACTTTACTCACAGTTGTGGTACCAAGAGTGGAGCTTATTAGAGAAATAAGCTGGAGAATGGAAGTGACAAAGAATATCACCCAGTAAAAATCCAAATTTTAGCTCAGTAGTAAAAAAAAAAAAAAAATTCCTCAAGCAGTCCAGGCCCTAGTTTCAGTTCAGCAATCAGCCACCCCTTCCATTATCTGGCAAGAACAGAGAAAACCTTCAACTATGGCCTTTATCTCCTCTGGTTACAACATTCAAGTTTCTCCACAGCAATGGTACAGTCTCTCCACCACTATCACGAGGGTCTCGCTTTCAACAGGATCTTGCTCCAGTCTCCCTTGAGTCTTGCCATTCAGTGCAAGAAACACACTCTCTCTCTTATCTTGGTCCCATAGCTGTTGATGATTTGCAAGAACTTGTGTCTGCAGTTAAGGTAGCTAGAGACTAAAGCGGGCTAAGGTAATGGTGAAAATAAACCAACTTGAGGCTAACACCACATCTTCCTAACCAGCTTTCAATACTAACCAATCCCACCTTCCTCACTATGAGTCCCTACTTCACACTTGTTCAGCAGTAAGCAGTTTCTGAGAAACAATGCCCCTTTTCCCACTACCTCTTTAAGGCAAGAATGTTAGGCTGAACAGGAACTCCATTTTACTGGATTTGTACCTCACTCTCCCTCCCTCCTAAGACAAGCAAGTCTGCCCTCCTGCTGAGAAAAGCAAGCTTGCCAGACATTCCCTTTCTCTCTGAAACAGGAAAGTTCACCAGATTAAGATAGAAGCCCAGAAATTAAGATAACAGGATACCTGAAGGTGTATAATATCTCAGAGTGAAAAGTTCCAGGATAAAAATTACTGAACTAGAATATTGTTGCCCCAAGATATCTCCCCCTACCCAGCAATCCAAGGTCCCAAGAATAAATGCCTGATCGTCCCCTTTGCTTAGGCTGATGTTGCACTGAGAGCTGCAACCCACTTTCAGTAAAGTGTATATTAAATAAAACTCCATTTACTATACACACAACACGGGTTGTTCTTGGATCCAGCAGTAGGAGGAACCGCTCGATGACCAAATAAGATTCATAAAAGGTATGCTCAACATAAGAAAAATAATCAGTGCAATTCATCACATTAACAAAGCAAAAACAAGAACCACAGGATCCTATCAATTGATATAGAAATGGCCTTTGAAAAATCCAACACCCCTTCCTGATAAAACCACTCAACAAAATAGGAATTGAAGGGAATTTTCCTAACACAGTGAAAAGTACATATGTGAAACCAAGAACCACCATCATTCTCAATGGAGAAAGACTAAAAGCATTACCCTTGGGAACAAGGATGCCCACTTTCACCACTCCTAATCAATATTGCACTGAAAGTACTTGATAGAGCAATAAGACAACAGAAGGAAATAAGAGGCATCCAAATCAGCGAAGAGGTAGTAAAATTGTCACTATACATAGACTATATCACAGTGAACTCAGAAAACCCCAAAGATTCAACAAAGCAAACTTTTAAACCTAAGAGACAAATATAGTAGCTGCAGGATATAAGATCAATATAAAAAAATCAGGAGGATTTCTCTACAGTAACAAAGAAACATTGAAAAGGAAATGAAGAAAGCAATACCACTTAGCTATGTAACCACAAATTGAGATACCTGGATATAAACCTAACTAGACAAAAGAGCCCTTTATAAAATAAAAATGGTAAAACACTATTACAAGAAACAGTAAGAGATCTAACTAAAAAATGTTCCCCATTCATGGATAGGAAGACTTAACATAGTGAAATTACAATCCTACCAAAAGCAATATACATGTTTAATGTAATCTCAATACTGATACCAAACTCATTTTTTCAAAGAGATAGAAAAGGCAATTGGCAAGTTTATTAGGAAAACAAAGAGAATTCAAATCATCAAAGCACTTCTGAAAAATAAAAATTAAGTGAGAGGGAGAGTACTCCATAACCAAAACAGCATGGCACTGGTACAATGACAGGCACAGAGGCCAAAGGAACAGAATCAAGAATCCAGAAATTGACCCATCTACTACAGCCAACGGGGATTCGACAAGTAAACAAATAAAAAGAGGAAATGACAACCTCTTTAACAAAAGATGCTGGCAAAACTGGACATCTTTTGGCAGAAAGCTGATGCAGGATCTGCATCTTACACCATACACAAAAATCAACTCAAGGTGATCAAAGACCTAAGGGAGAAGCCCAAAATCATAAAGATCATAAGAGGCAAAATGGGATCAAATTTAGAAACCCCTGGCCTATGGCATAGATAGGCCTGCAAATATAGGCAGAAAAGAACAGCCAGAAGAGGATCAAATCAACAAAAGAGATCTTCTAAAACTTAAGTCCCTGTGTGCTTCAAGAATTTTTTTCCAATATTAGTTCTTGTTAGGTGCTGTCAAGTCGAATACGACTCACAACAACCCCCAAAAGATCTCAACCCTGTTCTATCTTGTGCCATCCCCACACTTTCTGACACACAAGAGCCCACTGCCTCTGTCACCATGTCAGTCCAACTAGCTGAGAGTCTTCCTCTCCTTCGCCGACCCGCCACCCTTCCCGGCACCATGTCCTTCTCTAAGGAATGGCACCTTCTAGCAACATGTCCAAAATACAAAAGGCAAAGTCTTATCATTCTTGCCTCCAAAGAGCACTCTGGCTGCACCTTCTCCAAGACACATCTGTTCTCTTGGCCATCTATGAGATGTTCAGTGCTCTTCTCCAACATCACAGCTCAAAGGCATCATCTTTATTCATTGTCCAGCTCTCAGATGCAGTTTAGTCTTCAAACTGACATCACTACTCCTCAATAATTTGGAAAGGTCCCAGCTGCAGATTTTCCCAATGTAATACATCTTCTTATTTCCTGACTGCTGGTACCAAAGATGTTAATTGTGGAACCAAGTAAGATGACGCTGTTGACAGTTTCAATCTCCTCTCCATCCACCATAACAGTGCCTATTGGTTCCGTTGTAAGGATCTTTGTTTTCTTGACACTGAAATGCAATCCATACTGAAGGCTGTTGCAACAAGTGCTTCATGTCCTCCTCACTTTCAGCAATCAAGGTTGTGTCATCTGCATAACACAGGTTACTGATAAGTCTCCTGATGCCACACTCCTCCTCAAAGAGTGAAGCTTCTCAGATAATTTGCTCAGCAGACAGAGAGAGAGTGAATACAACCCTGGTGCACTCTCTTCCCAATTCTAAACCATATAGTGCTCCCCTGCTGTGTTCATACAACAGTTTCCTAGTTCAGGTATAGGTTCCACATGAGCACAATCAAGTGCTCTGGGATTCTCATTCTTCTCAATGTCAGACACAACTTGTCATGATCCACACAGTCAAATGCCTTTGCATAGTCAATAAAGCATTTTTTCCCAATAGGGTAAAAAAAAGAAACCCTACTGACTGGGAAAATATACTGTCAAAGGCATCTCAGATACTCATAACTAAAGTTTACAGAGCTCTACAGGGCCTCCAGAAGAAAAGTACTGATAATCCAGTTACAAAATGAGCAAAAGATATGGAAAGACTTTACACAGAGGAAGACATTCAGATGGCTGTCATACACATGAAGAAATGCTCCAAATCACTGGCAATGAGAGAGATGCAAAACAAAATCACAATAAGTTACCATCTTACCTCAGTAACTGTAGCAAAGTTTAGACAACAAGCAATAAATGTTAGAAAGATTGAAACTCTGAAGCACTACTGGTGGGATTGTAAAATGGTATAACCACTCTGGAAGGCAGTTTAGTGTTTCCTCAAAAAGCTGAACATAAAAATTCCATATGACCTAGCTATTCCAATGCTAGGAATATACTCTGAGAAAACAGAACTGAAATATAAATGAGTATATGTACACCTCTGTTCACAGTAGCATTTCTACCATACAAAGAAAATGAAAACAGCCCAAGTGTCCAAAAACAAACAAATGGATTAAAAAATTGTGGTACATTCACACAATGGAATACTATATAGCACTAAGGAGCAATGATTTCATAAAAGTCATATAACATGGGAGAGTCTAAAGAGCATTATGGTGAACTAACCCAGTCTCGTAAGGAGAAATACTGCATAAGACCATTATTGTTAAAAAAGGATAACTAGTAAAATGTGAAAGTCCCAAAGAGAAGGAGAAAGGGGGATGGATGGAAATTATTAGGATATCAGAGTTTCGTAGGCAGAGAGGGGGTGGGGGTGATGAAAGAACAGGAAAGATGAAATGGAGATTTGAAAAAATGGGGTCATAATAGGCATAGATCAATAGTAATTAATTTTATATACTATGAATATGAATGATTATCTATAATACAATGTGAATGAAAGATTGTGTGCAATACAATGTACATTAATTAGATAATACAAACATAATTTTTAAAAATTCTTAAGAGAGGTTGACATGTGAGATACATAATTTGACGCCTTGATCATAGTCTCACCTTTACCAGTTAACTATCTGAGTTACTTGTCGATAAAGTTTTAAACTATTTGTCTTTTTTTTCTCTTTCTCATTCCAACCAACAAGTTGGCCTATGAGCCTCTTCTAAGTTACTCCCATCAACTTCTTAATTCTTGCTAAAAAGGCCCTCCAATACTCTCACTCTGGTCACTCACTAGCCCTACAAACAGGATACTTGTGTTACTAGGACAGTATTCCTCTGGCCACCACAAACCATCTAGATTTTAAAGAAGCAGCTTTCTGCTTTTAAAAATTCATAGGTTGAGAGAACATAACATCTGATATGGATGGAATTAAAATGACAGCATGCCATTCCCTGAAAGAAGAAAATAGTGAGGAAGTCATACAGAAGGAAGAGGAGCTGGGAGACTGTGCCACAGACTTTCCTGGCAGGAAATAGTCTTTGTTCAATAACTTATATTATGTTCTACTAAATAAATAAAAAAAGATAAGGTAATAATTCTTCACTAAGTACATATCTACTTACATTACAGATTTTCATCACAAATATTACTAGTTTTGAAACCATTTACAATAAAACAAAAAATTAAGAGAATTCAGGCTCTATGTAGTTATATTTTGCCTGTTTTAAAAAAGTCTTTTTCCACATTTGAGACCAGTGAAGTCTTAAAAATGATCAATGTGTGGTCTAATTAATCAATATTTTTTTTAAAAATTTTCCACTTAATCACGACAAGTGTTATAATGTCCAAATGAGCAATAATACCATTAAAAATAATTTGTGCCTTAGAAAAGAGACTTTCTTACCAAGAATATTGGTTCTCCAAATGGTGAAAAATCAATCACATTAACATTTACTGGTCTTACACCCTGTTGCTGGGGTCTGAACAATTTAGGAGAAACTCTCAAATCTTGTCTTGCTCCATGAGTTATTATACCCTAGGAAGAAGACAAATGATGATGAAAGAAAAATATTAGTAGAAAGGCTAAAAATAAAGGTATTACTAAAACAAATTACATTATAACATAATTAAATACATAAATATTTAATGAAGACCTAGAGATCAGAAAACTCTATGAAAGAAAACAAATTAGTTAGAAAATTAAACTTGACATGTTACTCACCATGTTCGTGCCAACAATAAAATGGTTAGGATCTGAAGGTAGAAATTTAACATTCAGTGTTTGTACGGTCCCCCAAAATGGATTATCTTTTGGGGAAAGACTGAAAGAAATACAAAGAAGAGCAGAAGAATTACTTGAAACCTTAAGGATAATGATGATACTGGATACTTGTTAATTATTATGTGTCAATAAATACATAATAGGCCAGTGGCTACTAGGGGGAAGAGAAGAACTACCCTCATTCTCATTGTTAGAAGGGATGACACCAAAATGATTCCAGGATTTGCAGCTCCATACACACATGTAATGCAGGAGGGAGTAGGGTTGGTGTCACCCAATTTGATAATTCATCACCCTTGTAACCTAGCAGTTAGAATGTGCACAGGCCAGCCATGGTTCCCTACACTGGGCACAAAGGAGGTTCTCTACCCTGGCTAATGAGATGGGTGTATGCTACAGAGGGCCATAGGAAGAGGCAGGGCTGAGCACCTAGGATCATGCAGCATGGGGGCAGAGTCAGCTGCTCCAACTAATGGCTAGGGACTGTGATTCCATGAGTTACCACACTAGGTGAGGAGGAAAGAAAAATCATCAACCCTAGTTATACTACTATAAAAGACTATCAAAACACAAACTCAATGCTGTAGGGTCAGAGCTGACTCACGGCTGACATGCCAAAAGGATTCCAGAAGTTGCACACTGCATGGTAGGAGATCACCCATCTTTCTCCTGAGGAGCCAGAACCATCAGAGATTAGTCCCATTTTGGTTATCAACTCCGCTCCATGTGGACTGTGACCACAGGAACTTGGTGTTCTTGTTAGGTCTCCACTATGATTCACAGCAACTCTGTTAATAACAGATTTGATCCTCACCCTATCCTGCCCCATCTTATCAATTCCTGATAGGTTCAAGACCACTGTTAGAGTCACTGGGTCAATCCATCTTGTTGAGGATCTCTTTCTCTGACCTTCCACCTTTCCCTGCACTTCACAACACTTAACAACAACAAAGACACTTCTGACAACACATCCAAAGTACATGAGACAAAGTTTCACCATCCTTACTTGCCTCTAAAAAGCACCTTGGTTGCACTTCCTCCAGGACAGAACTGCGACTCAACAGACTAAACAGTACATAACAACAACAACCTACTATATTGGTTGGTTTTTATTTAAGCCCCTTATTTAGAGTCAACAAGATCTGGGGGAAGAGGGCCTTTGTGTTTAAAAGTCAGCTGTTACCCTATCAGTTGATGCAGAAAAAGCCTTTGACAAAATCCAACACCCTTTCCTGATTAAAACACTAAAAAAATAGGATTAGAGGGGAATATGCAAACCCACAAACCCGAGAGCCAACATTGTTCTCAATGGAGAGAAGTTAAAGGCATTCCCTCTGAGAACAGGAACTAGGCAAGGATGCCCACTATCACCTCTCCTATTCAATACTGTAATGGAAGTCTTAGCGATAGCAATAAAACAAGAAAAGGAAATGAGAGGTTTCCAAATTGGCAAAGAGGAGGTAAAATTATCTCTATATGCAGATGATATGATAGTATATTTAGAAAACCCTAAAGACTCAGGAAGACAACTGCTGGACATACTTGACCAATTCAGCAAAGTGGCAGGATACAAGATAAACATACAAAAATCAATGGGATTTCTCAACAGTGACAAAGGGACTACAGAACTGGAGCCAAGAAAAACAATACCTGTCACAATAGCTAATCACAAGATTAAGTACTTGGGAGTAAATCTAACCAGAAGCACAAAGGATCTATTCAAAGAAAATAACAAAATATTACTGCAAGAAACAAAAAGAGACCCGGAGAAATGGAAGAATATAAATATACCTTGCTCATGGATAAGAAAATATTGTGAAAATGACAATACTACCAAAGGCAATAACAATTACATTCTTCAATAAGATAGAAATGGCAATATCCAATTTTATTTGAAATGGAAAGAGGCCCCAAATAAGCAAAGCGCTCCTTAAAGAGAGAAACAAGGCAGGAGGCATCTCACTCCCTGATTTCAAATCCTACCACACTGCCGTGGTGGTCAAGACAGCGTGGTACTGGTACAATGACAGACATTTAGATCAATGGAATAGAATTGAGAACCCAGATATCAGCCCATCTACATAAGGTCAACTGATTTTTTACAAGGAGATGAAATCAGTTAAGTGGGGAAATGACAGTCTTTTTAACAAATGGTGTTGACATAATTGGAAAATTATCTGTAAAAAACTCAAGCAAGATCCACACCTCACACTATCGACAAAAACCAACTCAAAGTGAATCAAGGACCTAGGACTAAAACCAAGGACTGTAAACTTAGAGAAAAGCTTGGAAGAATTCTAGAAGCCCTAATCCACAACATAAACAGTTTTCCAAGCATCCTGAGAAACCTACAACCAAGAGAGGATAAAATAGATGAATGGGGCCTTTGAAGAATCAAATCCCCAGGCACATCCAAAAACTTCTCCAACAAAATAAAAAGGGAAGCCACAGACTGAGAAAAAAATATTTAAAAGTTATATGTCTAATAAGGGACTAATATCTATATAAAATACACGAGAACCACAACAAGACAAAGGGTAAACAACCCAATTGAAAAATGGGCACAAAATATGAACAAATACTTCACTAAATAAGACATTCAGATGGTAAACACATGAAGAAATGTTCAAAATCCCTAGCTCTAAGAGAGATACAAAACAACTGTGAGATATTATTTTACCCCAGTAAGGATAGCAAAATTTAACAGAACAGCAAACAAATGCTGGGGAGGTTGTGAAGAAACTGGAACCTTTATTCACTTTTGGGGGAAGTGTAAAATGGTGTAACCACTATGGAAGGCTGTATGGCACTTTCTTAAAAAGCTGGAAATAAGGGGAGCTCTGGTGGCCTAGTGGCAAGAAGCTGCAACTACAATCCCAGAAGTGCATGGTTCAAATCCACCAGATGCTCTGCCGGGGAAGGAGGGGCAATCTCCTCCTGTACCACTCAGATCTGATTTGACGGTACACGCACACAAAAATTAAAAAAAAAGGGGGAAAAAAAGCTGGAAATAGAAATCTTTCGGCCCTGGGAATATACCCCAAAGAAATCAGAACTGCCACCCAAGCAGATATATGCACACCCATGTTTATTGCAGCTTTGTTCACAAGGGCAAAGAGTTGGAAACAACACAAGTGCCCATCAACAAACACAGGGATAGAGAAGCTCTGGTATATTCACAAAATGAAATACTATGTGTACTGAAAAACAGGGAACTCATTAAATAGTATGCCAAATGGAGGACATTATGCTGATTGAAATATCTCAGTCACAAAAGAACAAATATTTCATAGTGCCACTGTTGTAAAGTGCCATCATTAGGTGACACCCTAATGGCAAATGGCATAATGTTTACACACAGTGCACAGTGTTTTGTGGAGTGCCCAGTTTAAGACAGGAGTGGCGTCTACTTCCTAAACAACATGCCTCTGGAAATTCTATGAACTTTGAGAAACAACGAATAGTTATAGAAAGGGTTCATTCAGGTCTTTTGTTCATAGGGTTGCTGAGTGGTGCTCAACTCGACAGCAATGAATAACAACAAAAAGAACCCTTCTCCAAGTTCAATGCCTCAAACCTATTCCTAAAATGATCTTGAAGTTCAGATGGAATTGATTCAAGATCATATTTTGGTTCCTGTGGACATATTTTCATTTTTTCAGCCTCAATTTGAATTTGCGTATGAGTAATTGATTGTCTAACTTAGAGTCTACCCATGGCCTAGTTTTGACTGACAATATTGAGCTTCTCCAACGATTTCTTCCACAAATGTAGTCAATTTTATTCCTATGCAGCCCATCAGGTGAGATCCATGTGTAAAGTCATCATTTGTGTCTTTTAAAAAAGGTATTTGCAATGATTAAATCATTGTAAATACAAAATTCAATCATTCTATTTCTAGTCTCAATTCTATCACCAACTTCTTATTTTCCAAATACTATTCTTTATTCACTGTTTCTCACTTTTGCATTCCAGTCACTAATTACCATTAACACATCCTGAATGCATGTTTGGTCAATTTCAGAGTGTAAGATTTGGTAAAAAAAAAAAAAAAAAAATCTCAATTTCTTCCTCGTTGGCTCCAGATGTAGAAATGTATATTTGAATAATAGTCATGGTAATGGCTCTTCCTTGTATGCATATGGATATTATCCTATCACTCACAACATTGTATCTCAGGCTAGAACTTGAAATTGACCTTTTTACAATAAACAGAAAACCATTCTTCTTCTGTTTTTCATTCCCAGCATAGTATACCATATGATCATCGGATTAAAAGTGGCCAAGCAAATATATGCACACCCATGTTTGTCACACTTTTGTTCACAATAGCAAGGAGTTGGAAACAAACTAAATGCCCATCAACAAACAATGGATAGAGAAGCTGTGGTATATTCATACAATGGAATACTACACTGCATTGAAAAGCAAGGAACTCATGCAATATTATTCAAAATGGGTGACCCTCAAGGACATTATGCTGAGTGAAATATATCAGTCACAAAAGGACAAACACTGCATAGTGTCACTGCTGTACAATGGGACTGACATCACGGTTAGGGTAAGAATGAGAAAACCTGGATGAATTATGTATACTGCATTGAAACCGATGAGGGAGAGAACAGTTTAAAAGCAATATATTTTAGG